TCTGCCAGTCTAGATCATATACTAAACAAGATCTCTCTTCACCTCCATACTAAACACTTTACATTTAACGGCTGTAAAATCAGGCGGAAAATTCTGGTTGTTTATCCATTCCTGATCTTTAGTCTAGATCCCCATGCAGATGCAGTCTGACTTTGAAGGAAAAACCCCTGATTAGTGGCCTACAACGACATGCTTGTCAGGTGACATTGGGCCTATTCTTTGTTCGTCAAAATGTAGCTTCGGACCAGAACTTGTGGTGTTGATGCATTAGGGCCAGAGTTCAATCTGGCCAATTTCAATCTGCAGCTCACCCTGGTCATCCTATAAACAGTTTCCCCATCGGGGGCCTGACCAATCTAAATAGGATCAATGTACCCTTTGAAGTAAGAGTCCACCTGCCTGAGATGTGAGGAACCAATGCTCTGAATACAATAGCCAGATCTGTAGAACAGATGTGTAGGTAACATTTAAGTCCAGGAACAAGAGTGAAGTCTGAATATGGACAAACAACCAGGACCTTTCAACTTTCTTCTGAATACAATAGCCAAATCTGCAGAACAGATGTGTAGGTAACATTTAAGTCCAGGAACAAGAGTGAAGTCCGAATATGGACAAACAACCAGGACCTTCCACTGAAGTTCACAGCGGGAGAAGAAGAACAAAGACCATGGTCTTCACTGTGCTGAAGCCTGTCTAGAACTCCATAAACTTTGCCCATTGCAAGAAGGCAAGTCACAGGAATTCAACGATATAGTATACAACCAGGAGCCATGGCTTTGGCTAACTACTCAAAGAGATCACCAGCTTAAGCTCTAAACAAGTGTGTTCCTCGATTAACAGCATGAATTCAGTTACCACAAGCCCCATTTTGTCAAGCTGTACAAGAGGGAACTCAAATTGACAGGGTTCTAGCAACCACAACTTGGCATTGAAAAAAAAACAATCATACAGGTTCCAAATGAATAAACAGCTAAGTGTAGAGCTAACAGTAATAATATAGCAAATGGCTAAAAAGCACAATCCTTTTATACCAACTGATTTTCAGGAAATATTTGTAGAAAACGACCCAAAATGAATAGGGAATTATAACCATTCAAAAAGAAACTTTCAGAATTCAACACATTAAACATCATAACATCATACGCAATCAATTTTTGTTTTAAATGCCTTATTTAACCAAGCTGAATACAACATACTTTTGTTTCACACATAAAACACAACAGAAATTGCAAAGTTGGAAAAAAAAAACATGTCAAATATAAATTTGAAATAACTTTTAAAATATATAGCAAATAATATTGCAAACAAAAGAAGTCTCACCCTGTGACCCACAAAGCAAAACAAAGAAACAACAAAACGAAATAGAACATTGCAAACTGGAAAATAAATTAATTAATAACAGGATAGCATCGCTGGTCTTACAGGATCCACAGGGGGGGGAAAAGTTATAAGGCTGTAATCTACAATTTATGCTATAACAGGAAGCTAGGGAGGACTGGCATGAAATGGCTATCTCACAGTCGAAAACTTTGAGTGCAAAATTTAATTTGTTTTCTTTTGATGGTCTCCGCAGTCGAGGCTGTCCAAAAGAAACTCTAAGACAAATGTTTATGAGAGACTGCAAAGACACTGCACAGGATTCTATCCATGATATTAAAACAATTGCACAGGACAGAAGGGAATTAAAGAACAAACTGTAAGCTCAATGTGATATACAACAGAATAATGATGATGATGATGTCTTCACCTAAATAATGAGGGTGGGGATGGGTGTGACCATCCATTGCTGGCTTTCAGTATATAAGAATGTGAGGCCTTAATCACTTCCGTGGTGTGACTCTTGTATCATTGCTTGCAAGCCACAAGGACAGTCTTTCTCTAAATCAGTGGTTTTCAAATAGAGGAAACCTGGGGACCCCTCTTATATTCGAATGTCTGCCACAGACCCTCATATTTTTTAACAGTCATACCGAATTGTTTTCTTAGTCTTAAAGTCTATGCCATACTGTACTGACAGTCATGTTTATCCAAAACCTTCTGTCTCGCGTACTTTCGATGAACTCTGACACAGATGATTCCCCCATGCAATGATGTCAAACTGTCCAGCATCTTTTTTCTTGGTCTCCAGCCGCTTCTCTTCCCCTCCAACTTCCCCAATGTCACAATATCATACTGAGCAGCTTATTACAAATTATGAATATTAGAATCACAGAAAGGACGGCACTGTAAAGCTGGGGGTACATTTTTTAAATCATAACACAGACACATATAATTTGTTCCACTAATCTCCCATGATTACCAAATAGGAAAGTTAAGTAAAATAAAAAGTAAAGGACCCTTTTCCAAGCCTTTCAGGTATACTGGGTATATAGGGCAGGACCTATATTTTATAGACCCAACGGCACTTGGTGGGTGATGTAGTCAGCATCCTGCCAGCTGCCTTTACTTGCCAGGACTGAACCTGGTACCCACTCAAGGCTGGGTCGACCTGGGAGTCAAGGTCATTTTTGAAAAAGTTCCGGCCCTGTCAGGAACCGAACCCACGACCTTCCAATTTACAGGCGAGCGTCTAGCCGCTAGACCACAGCGGCTCCAACCAAATGGAAAAGAAAGCCCTAAATCATTTCTTACTTCTCTTTGTACTGCCCTGGCAAGCAAAACTGTTACCTACAAAGGCAAACTGATCATTTAGTTTTACTAGTTTTGTCTTCAGTATGGTCTCTGCGGGATCTGTTATTTATGTCTTCACTATCGTAGTCTTTTCATAATTGACATGTAGTAACACTTTGGGTACTTTGTTCAATAAATCATATGCTTTTTTTTTTGCAGATCATGACATTCTTACTTAGCTGAACAATATAATCTTCATAACCAAAATCCTCTTCCCGTGTGGGTCCCGGGGTCCCATTCTGGGGGAAACAAGAACAGACCCACTGCATCCCCCAACAAGCCTGTCGTAAAAGTCAACTAAAAGGGATATCCTTCAAACTTGGAGTACATCGGTCTGAGAGGCAAAGAACCAAGAGAGACAGACACAGGAGGAGATTCGGTGCACTTATGGTCATGTCTGATGTGCGATAAAGATGATCTTTCAAATGATCAATAAACAATGGTCTGCATAAAAATAAGCCAGATCTGTGAAACAGATGCGAACGCAATACTTGGGTTCTGGAATAAGACTAAAGCCTGGAGGCGGGCGACCACCCAGAACTTTCCGACATAAAGAAGAAGAAAATCCTCTATCTGAGTGTTCTCAGTTCAGTCAATGCCAGTGTTTCCTAACTAATATTTTAAATCATCATGACAGTTAATCCTAATAATGGGGAGAGATCAAATACAACTGTTGAATTCCACTTTGAACTGCTAACCATTCACTTAAATAGATCAAATACAACTGTTCAATTCCACTTTTTAAATGCAAACCATGCACTTAAACAGATCAAACACAACTGTTCAATTCCACTTTCAAATGCTAACCATTCACTTAAATAGATCAAATACAACTGTTCAATTCCACTTTTTAAATGCAAACCATGCACTTAAACAGATCAAACACAACTGTTCAATTCCACTTTCAAATGCTAACCATTCACTTAAATAGATCAAATACAACTGTTCAATTCCACTTTCAAATGCTAACCATTCACTTAAACAGATCAAATACAACTGTTCAATTCCACTTTCAAATGCTAACCATTCACTTAAACAGATCAAATACAACTGTTCAATTCCACTTTCAAATGCTAACCATTCACTTAAATAGATCAAATACAACTGTTCAATTCCACTTTCAACTGCTAACCATTCACTTAAATAGATCAAATACAACTGTTCTATTCCACTTTCAAATGTAAACCATTCACTTAAATAGATCAAACACAACTGTTCAATTCCACTTTCAACTGCTAACCATTCACTTGAAAACTATCATCGGTGTGCAGCGTACACTCTGAGCCCTCATAATTTTCTTAGATAATTTTAATTGGAATACTATAACAATGCAAGAATCTGTACAGTGATGTTATGAGTAAGCTACTGACAGACCAAACAAAGTCAGTATAAAGCATTTTCCAACAACCAGATCAGCAGCAGAAAGGTAACAGACCTTTTTTACGCCCTAGTGCCTCAGGCACATGATGCTGAACTTATATTTGTATAGGCCAATCAGCACTCAGTCGCTGATGCGGTCAACATCCTGTTGGTCACCTCTACTTACCAGGACATTGTCTGGTATCCATTTTAGGCTGGGCGGATCTGGGAGCCAAGTTTAATTTTGAGAAGAAACAGAAATCTGTCTGGATGAGGATTCAAGCAAAAAATCTTGGGTCCCGCCGGCGAGCGCCTGACCACTACCCTGGCTCAATGGCACATGAACATGTATATAAAAGAAATTACTGGCAGAAATCATCTAAAAATTAGTCTCTACTGAAATGTTTAATCTCACCCCTTTACAAAATACACAGACAAAAGATAATCATTCAAACAGTAATCTGAATTATTTCCTTTCTACTCAAATAAATACTCTGCTCCACACACATTTACAGGGCTATTCTGTTCTAATTTTTTTTAATGAGACAGATGGCATATCACATTCACATTTGAATGTAAGCTTCTTCTTTCTCCACTTCTTCTTCACTTCCTCCAGTCATCTCTGTTGGAAGGGTGAGGATTGTCTGTTTGCTCTCTATGATACTTTGAGCAAGTTGGTCATCATATTTCTAAAGTTGTCCTTGGTGCTGCATTCTATCTTTTGGCTGTGTTCATTTTATTTTTTCAATGTGGCTCTCTGTAGCAGATAGTACATGGGAACTCTCATCAGATGGCCAAACCATTTCATCTGTTGCTATTTAATGAATTTTATGCCAGGTTTTAGCCCTCATGTTCTTTCTAATCTCTTTACTTTAAACTGTATCTCTTGTTTTTACTGCAACATCTCACAAGTCTAAGCAAACAAAATAATGACACATTACTCATTATTCTCTTAAAATGTAAACGCAGAATCACTCAGAACTTTCCAGTTCAAATGAACTGTTGTTTTCATCCTCCTGTTTCCTAATTGCTGCAATGTCATGATTTAGCAAGACAGAATCTTCTCCAAGTATAGTACACAGCTCTCGGAGGCGCTCCTGCATGCGGGGCATTCCCGCCAGCTGGTTCTCCAGTTTGTTTTTCTCTTCATTCAGGGTTAGTCGTACATTAGTGTCTAGTTCCTCCATTCTCCACCCACCTTCTCCATCAAACTGAAGCAGGTGCGTGTGGAACTTCCTGTGTATTCAGAAAAAATATTGTTCAAGTAATTAATAATGTAATGAATTTTTTTTCCTGCAAAGTACTAACAATTTTCAAATTCTAAATCTGCATTCTGTGTGACATTCTTTAACACTGTCCCCCCAGGGAAGCCATGAATCTGCAAACAAAGGCTGCCATATTCCCATTAAGGTTACAAAGCCGGCATGCTTGTAGTTATCTTTATCCGAAATTAAAATCATGGGCTCTATTCACATCTGTGCAACATTCGGGAGGCCGGGATAAGAATACATTTACCAAAAATAGCATTTATGTGAATTTTCTTGTAAATAAAAGAATATTTTAAAGATATTTTAACATTATATTTTCCCACAGCCTCAGTGAAAGAGGTCACTGGGTCACGACAAGAGTCGTTCAATACTTATTTTCCTAGACCCCAGGAAATGTATTCCATTTAATGCCTCATTCTGGTCCTGTATATACTAACTGTATATATGTATCATTATAATCTTGGACAAAGAAGAAGAGAAATACTGACATCTTAAAAGATCTGAACATCAAGGAAGATTGGCTAATGAACACAGCATCCTGTCTCGGAAGCTGAAATATTTTGGTCATATCAAGCGCCACGACGGATTGGAAAAAATCATAGCAGAAGGCATGGTACCAGGAAGGAGGGGCAGGGGCCGACCGATACGAAGATGGGCACAGGATAAAAGTGACTCTTTGAGTATGAAAGTACATGAGGCGGGAAAACTGGCCAGAGACTGAGTTTCTTTCAGGCAGACCATGATGACAGCGACCTTAAGCAAGGGACCTGGCACATGATGATGATATTTTGAAAAAAAAATTTGTACAAATGTAGATAAACATATTTTTTAAAAACATAATCATTAGAGACACCGGTGTAACAGATTTGTAATTTTTTTTTTTTTATCATCCAGAAACCATGAGTTGTTAAATGTTAACCCTTTGGCTCGGTACTATGGACATCGTAACCCTGCGGCCTTGATTTCATGATAGATACTGTATATCTGGGAGAAATGTGGCTTTTCTGCCTACCCCCTTGACCACAGGGAGTTTGTCACTCTAGAGGGTTTTAACCAACTGCGCTGGTAATTTTTTAACGATAATTTTATGGGGAACTTCCCACAGCGTTATGACCCATTTTATTTAGCATTCTCAAGGTGAAAGGATTAATAAACTGCTTTCACTAAGTTTCAGAAAGACAGTAAGGCAAATACTAACACAGAAGACCCTTTTCACATTAGTAGTGCCTCAGCCAAATGGTGCTAAACATATAATGTTATAGGACCAGTCAGCATTCGATGGGCGACACGGCCAACATCATGCTGGATATTTTACTTCTGATATATTCTGTTCAAGGTCAAGCTGTGGAGAAACATAACAGCCCATGCCAGTTGGCAGGGCACTTAAAGATGATGAATTAGTAAGTTGCTATGCTGACCAAAAACTAAAATGGTAAAACACATAACGTGTAACAGTTTTCATACAAATCTAAGGGGAAAACTGGTCCCTTCATAAGAAGAAACACCATAATCAGTGGGCACATCATGAGAAGGAAGCAGTCAAAGCAGTGTTTACTGGCTTCAAAACTAGCTGCACACACATGTAGTGAGTGTTACTGACACACAGAGCATGTAGAGAAGGGTGGAGTTTTGATGTTTAAATAAAATAATGAACAAACCATAAAGTTGGTCTATGGCTGATGGTCAACAAGGTGATGCCTGCAGCCTTGAGACTCAAGTAGATCTTGCTCTCCACATCAATGGACACAGCACTGGTACATTCATCCAGGAGGGCAAACTGCGGCCTGGACATTAATTAGGACATTAACTTGTTACAAATGAAATAAGTACAATCAGTTGTTAATATCCTCAATGCAGTGGCAAAGTAATAAAAATAATAATGCTGGGGAAATTTACAAGCTAAACCATAGTACAATTCTTCTTCTTCTTCTTCACATTCATTGACTGTAAGCTCTGGCAGAAAGTTCTGGTTGTTCATCCCTTCTAGACATATCTTGTTCCACAACTTGAGTTCTGCATGTACGCCTGTACATCCATCCGCTTCACAGATCTGGCTTCATCTTCTTCTGCTTCACGTTCATTGACTGTAAGCTCTCGCAGAAAGTTCTGGTTGTTCATTCCTTCTAGACAAGTCTTGTTTCACAACTTGAGTTATGCGTGTATGCCTGTACATCCGCTTCACAGACCTGGCTTCTTCTTCTTCTGCTTCACGTTCATTGACTGTAAGCTCTGGCAGAAAGTTCTGGTTGTTCATTCCTTCTAGACAAGTCTTGTTTCACAACTTGAGTTCTGCGTGTGCGCCTGTACATCCGCTTCACAGACCTGGCTTCTTCTTCTTCTTCTTCACGTTCATTGACTGTAAGCTCTAGCAGAAAGTTCTGGTTGTTATTCCTTCTAGACAAGTCTTGTTTCACAACTTGAGTTCTTCGTGTGCGCCTGTACATCCGCTTCACAGATCTGGCGTCTTCTTCTTCTGCTTCACGTTCATTGACTGTAAGCTCTGGCAGAAAGTTCTGGTTGTTATTCCTTCTAGACAAGTATTGTTTCACAACTTGAGTTCTGCGTGTACAACTGTACATCCGCTTCTCAGATCTGGCTTATTTGTATGCAGATCATTAGTTCCTCAAATCTCAGGCAGTGACTTTATAAAAAACCACCCTGATTAGTCACTTTTATGACATGCTTCTTAGAAGGCAAATGGTTAATTTTTCCCGACACAATTGGGCCCTGGTACCCACACCAGGTCATGAAATATGGTTGGTTTACAATAGTGACTAGTGATTTAAGTTATGGCATTACAGATCAGACCTTTACTTTGATGGAAGACGGTATACCAGGGAAGCACTAACAAAGCAATCTCCTCTGATCCAGCAGAGCATCAATATCTTGTTTTGTTCTAAACATTTTGGTGTTACATTTACCTTTAGAATTAACAAAGCAGGCAGACAGCAGGATCATGCTGCCAGGGTGACACATGGTCTCTACAGAATTGCCCAGGCTTTGTATTACAAAGAGGAGGAACCTCACTCCCTGGCCATAAGCGGTATCACCGTCGGCCTTTAGCAAACTGGAAAGCTTATCACTCGGAAGGATGGGAACGTGCTGCCAAGAATGTGCTCACGCCTTCAAAACTACATATGTCACGCAATACAACTGAAACCAGTTTTCATTTCTTGATCTGTGATTTCATTTATGTTATTCACTTCAGATAGCATTTCTGGTCTGAGGATTATGAATGCAGTTTCATTATTCTGACATATCAGTTTCACTTAGCTGCAGGTGATATAGAAGCAGATCACTTTGCGTCAAACCACAAATAGTCAACAAATCATGAGTTGGTCTGCAGTGTTCCATAAAGGACACATAACTAACTTTACTCACTGAAACATGGTTTCTTATTTGTGACTCTGGTGCTTTCAGTTTTGCAGAAAAATATTTTTGTTCTTTGTTTATATCATAATCCTTGTCGTCCCGTGACACTGCGTGTCGTTGGGTCATCAACTGCTGTCCACTGTCTGTCTGATCAGCTCCATCCCCCTGTGACAGTCAGATGTGATGGACTTCATAGTTGCCTGCCTAAGGTCTGTCCAGTCAGTCGATCTGTATCCAGATCTTTCTTGGTCTGCCTCCTGTCCTCTTCCCCTTAAATGAGACAGGTAGTAATATTTCTGACAGGCCGTTAAATCTTATTATATGTCTGTACCATTACATTTGCTGTATTTTTTTACTGTAGTTAAAAGAGGTTCATAGTTGTCAATGTTTGTTGATAAGACTACTTGAAATCTTAGCTTGTCCCTGTGTGATCCTTCCATTTCACTGAAATTTCTAGTTATTTTCTGTATTAATTTCACAAGGGGGTCTCCACAGCTAAGTGGTTCAGCCATTTTTTTACTTTACGATCAGTATGTTCGTCTTCTCAGCGTTCACCAGCTGCAAACACCATTCTGGTTGTTCGTCTGGTTGTTGTTTGGTCTTGGTCAAGAATTTGACTTTTGTGTGCACATCTGTTTTACAGATCTGGCTTCCTTGTTTATAAACTGCTGGTTCCTTGCCTCTCAGGCAGATGCTCTGCGACTTTGAAGGAAACACCCCTGATTAGTCTCCTCCAGCAACATGCTTGTTAGGAAGGCAGTGGGTCTATTCTTTGTTCTCCAAAATGGAGAACCGGAACAGGCATGGGGAAGTTGTGGGTTCAACTCAGGGACTGTGCCGTTCGGTTCACATGTGCAATTTAAACATAAATTTCTAGGGGTCGTTGCTGGTGCTAGAGTCTGTGCTTGCCGCTGTGGTTTTACCAGGCAGCCAGCCAGCCATTCTGCGAAGAGAGACTGAAAGTCAAGGAATGAGAATCCACAAAACTTACTTGTGATAAAAAGTGCGAGCCATTCCCATTCTCTGCTTCTCACCACCTGACAGCACATCCTTCCAGTCACATTCGGCTCCCCAACCTGTTCAGAATTGACCGTTTCATTGTTTTAATATTACACAGTTTTGTTTCTTTCACAACGAAAACCCTTTGGAGAAAACACCATGACCCCAATGTAAAACAGGCACTACAAAATTGTTTTACTTAAAATAGAGAAATTAATTGGCTAAAGGCTTCAACCAAATTCAACACAAAAATAGTGTATTTAACATGACCACTAGCATCCAAAGTAACGATCACAAGTGGTGTGATCCTGGTAGTCAGGCATAAAAGCAGGATGTCAGATATATGTAACAGTTCATAGCATTGGTGAGGAAAATGTACAGCAAACAGAGAGATAAGATACAACACACAAAATTCCTTTTTATAAATTAAAAAAAAAAACCCAAACTGCACTGGTTTATTGTCAGGATGTTCTGGCATCAAGGGCAGCCTTATTAAGATATGAAGATCATCTTAGACAATACATTAGAACAGTGGTTTCCAAACTTGGGCGGGAGGCACAAGAATGTTTCAAGTGGGGCATCAAGTAATATTGAAAGTGAGTGCATTTGTACTAGTAACAATCCATTTTACTAATATATTTGTTTCAGCATAATTATAAATAAAATATTTTTTAAACTTCTTATTAAACAAAACAACAAAGATGTTTTTGTTTTCATTAGCAGTTTGTTCATCTATCGTTAATAATATAATTAATGTAACACATGCTTTTAATTATAGATAAAGAACACATTCTGACCAAAATCTATCTCCATACTTTCTGTTAGTCTTGTTGCGAAATCTACTATCCTCCTCTTTTTAATCATATTTTGTTAAGCTGGGGAAGGGGGTCGTGGGGATCTTGCAATATACTCAAGGGGATGTGGAAGTCTTGCTGTATACTCAAAGGGATGAGTGGGTGAGGGATTCGTTCTACACTCAAGGTTAGGTGTGGGGGTCTTGCCTTTTACTCATAAAGATGTAACCACAAAAATGTTGCAGACCACTGCATTAGACAGAGCACATAAACGATCCTGACATATCCACCCAAGTACTCAATCAGGTAGTTGGGAGGAAAGAAGAAAAAGATGCTAATGCCCCATACTGACTATTTGTTATTGTTTTTTTTTGGGGGGGGGGGGGGGGGGGGGGGGGGGGTTATGAGTTTATGACTACTAAGGTGAACTAAACAAACCTCCTTCTCGGTGGACTATGTGATCCAAGTGTACAATTTTTAAAATGTTCATCAAGTCATCGTCTGTAAATTCTTTCTTCTTCATGTCTTCCTTGCAGTCAGGGTAAATAACTTGGTCCCGCAATGTTCCAATCGACATGTAAGGTCTGAAATATATAACACATCTGTCAATAAGATGAATAAAAATAAAATCATAGGACAACTATAATGCACTTTTATAATTTCAAACAGCCAGCTTGACAAGAAAATCTTTCATGTCCAAATGGAGCATAGGACAACAACCTGCTGAAAGCCACTTGTAAACCTGTTTATGATAAGGTTAAATTTTTCAGTTCAAATGTCAGGATGAAGCAGCTAGTCTCACATCAACTCTCCTTATATGTATGGTACTTTCCTGTGTTATTCCTGTCTGCCTTCTTCTTGTGTATTAAACAAACAGACAGGTATTGATTGGCACTTACAGAAAAAAAAAAAGTAGAAGGAAAGAAGGACTACACAACATAAAAATCTAGAACTATAGTTAACATGCCGGGAAATTACCCTGTCACCTCCAAATGATGTTGAGCTCCCAATAATGTACAGACAAATGGGCCTAAATCAGTAGTTCCAATTGTCGACGTTACACAGAAACCCCTTATTTTTTTAGAGACTACAATAGACCTCATACATTTTAAAAGTCATACTGAAAAACTAGTAATTTTGTAATATAAGAAACAAACACAAACCTCCTCAACCCCCCCCCCCCTTTCCCAAAAGAATCTGCATCCTAAAGATAGGTTTTTTTTTAATTCATTTTTTTTTTGGGGGGGGGGGGGGGGGGGGGGTAAATGAAACAATAGACTCCTTAAGTAAATGTTGCACACTCTTGGGGCTCCGCAAACAACTTAAAAGGAACTGCTGGCCTAACTAGTGCCCCTAAGGTTTGTGCCACCATGCAGGTGTGCTTGAAGGCTGATAATATCACTTCAACATAAATTTTTCTTCGTGTGTTACTGACTATAACCATAATGTACAGTTTTTGTAAGTGACTTTTTTTTTTAAACATTTCTTATCGATGTACTAGACAAAACTGCCCGGCTTCATCCAGGATGGTTAAAGTTAATTTTATTTTCCCACTTTTTACTTCTTTGTCCCCACCTGAGGGATGTTTAGTCCCGGCCCTCAATGCCCCCCCCCCCCCCAAATCTAATCCACAAAGCTATCGCCTCCTCGACCGCCCCAGCGTAGCTCCCACTGTCCAGACTTCAAGTATGAAGGGAGATAACAGCAAAGTATAGTTTGTTAAAAACTCATTCTTCAAGGGCAATAGAGAAATTTGTAGGTGATCAAGGGATCTAACTCCAGTGAATGTAGACTTTCAGTGACTGCGGCGTTAATTATCATAACAATGTAGAAACCTTGTTGCAAACAGTAAAGCTGACCTACAAATTGCAGCCAGAATGACATCTACAACTTTCATCCCTCTTCTGGTCACCATGTGGAAGGAGTTTTTGTAATATAGAAATACACATAAGATTTTCAGTTTTATAGTATAAAATTATATTTATATGCTACACATATTGTAAGTCAATCTCTGTCTCCAAATGGGACAAATTTGTCATTATTCTGAAGCCCCACTCTGGTTGTTACCGGGGACCCTAATATAACCTAATGGTTGACCTGGGTTTCTGGGACCTCTCCACGGATGATCCTCATCCAAATGGTGGCACTTTGTGTCACCGGGTGTTTATCACTCCGCGTGATATGCTGATGTAAAAAGTCAGTCAGTACGAATAATTCACTGTAAGTAGTCATCTTGTTTAATGTGCCAAAGCTGCAGCCAATTAATTACAACCTCCTCTTTACAATTTCTAACTGGAAAGACACCATAAACATGCCTAGCATGCACTCTAAGCTTTCTGTTTCATTTTCACCCTTACCTAAGAAAGCTAGGCACCCAATCTAATATCCTCAGATATGACAATGTATAACTTTCCAAGGATCCTTATTTTTTTTTAAACTAAAATCACAATCTATTTATAATAAGATGTCAAGTACTTTACAAATTTGAGAAAATGTCTTGCCTCTACACCATTTCACCCATAAAAGTAACAGCCAACTACATTATTTGTGCCACTTTATCACCTCTGCTTCTGACTACTAACCTGCTCACTTATCTCTGAGGTATATAGAACATTGTAGGCAATCAAATACTTCTTAGGTATGTAGAACATTGAACGCAATCAAATACCTCTCAGGTATGCAGAACACTGTGGAATACTCAAGGTTTTTCGAAGGTTTGAACAACGGATCAACATCATGGCACAAGGGTAGTAACCCATAAGTGCTCGGTTCTACATCTAACTCAAGCCTGAGTCAGAAGAATCTCAGCCCAGTGCCCAAACTCTGTAGCATCGGCGAGGATCCTGAAATTCTTTGGACAAATTTTTAACTCCAAATTTTGCCCAGGCAGTGCTGTTAGGATACTCTTTTTAATTTCCAACTGCCAAGGGATTTTTTTGGTGTGCGCAACAATACACACAGGTGTTCAATCTTACTACCCAGAGACCATGAAAAATTACTAGAAGTCCACGTGAAAAAATCCCAGCCTACACAGGGGCCTGAACACGAGACCTCTAGCACTCGAGGCAGACGCCATGCCTTGAGACCATTCAGCCCCAGGGGTGTAGACACTCAAATACCTCTGAAGTATGCCGAACATTATAGACTCTGATTTACCTCCGAGGTATGTAGAATATTATGGATGCTCACTTACCTCCGAGGTATGTAGAATATTATGGATGCTCACTTACCTCTGAGGTATGTAGAATATTATGGATGCTCACTTACCTCTGAGGTATGTAGAATATTATGGATGCTCACTTACCTCTGAGGTATGTAGAATATTATGAATGCTCACTTACCTTTGAGGTATGTAGAACATTGATGAAGGTGGAGGTTTATACAGTTTTCCTCCATAAACCGGCCAAAGACCATTCAAGATGCGGAACAAAGAAGATTTCCCACAGCCATTAGGGCCAGTTATCAACAGATGCATCCCAGGTTCCATCTGCAACATGTGAGAAGGCAAAACACAAGCTTTAGCTACATCCAGGATTTTGTCATTATCCTGTTGTTGCTTTTATACGGTCTTACTTTTAACACTGAAGAGCAACACTGTTAGAGAAGCAAGAAAGTAAAGTAAAATAAATTACTTAGCAGCTCTAAATCATGATGTTTAAAAAAAATTTCAAATATAGATAAAAACAACTTCTATTTTTAAATCATCAACATTCATATCAACACCCTTTTTTTAAAATTATTTTCAAATAATCATTTTTTTTTTTTAAACAGCAACTCTGTAAATGAACAGCAAAATCTGTTATGAAAAACTCACTAGCTCTTGTGGTGGAAAACACCCATTTTTTTGTATTTTTTATTTTTACAAGCAGACATGACTAGTGAAATAATACACACACCAGTACTTACTTTCAAGGACAATGACTGAACAATTATGTCGCCATTGGGTGTGATGATTGGCAGGTCTTCAATGACAATGGTGGACTGTGTGTCAATGACAACTCCTGAAATACAACAAGACCATCATCATGTAGCAGGTCCTTTGCAGAACGTCACTCTCATTTACAACCTAGCTGAAAGAACTCAAGTCTCTCGCCAGATCTCCTCGTGCAGTTCCATACCCAAGATGTCACTTATATACCTATCTTCATACTGGTTGGCCCCTATCACTCTTCCCCGGCACCTTGCCTGCTGCTGCTAATTTTCCCAATCTGCTTTGGCACTTAAGTAAGTACAGTCGCCATTTTGTTTTTGTGTTGCGAATACGCATGCATCAGCCAGCGTCACTAATGGAGATATTAACTTCGATGCTGCTGTCACCTAATGACACCCGTAGAAACCATAAGCTACATTTTACTGCCATCCCATTTCTATTTGTGACTTACTTAATGACTTTCTCTCGTATCAATAAATGCACATTGTACTGCTTAGCACAAAATACAGCAAATTTGGGAACATACTAGCCTTATCATATAAAGAGGAAATATAACCTTAAATGAAATAAACATGGCATATGAGGCCCGTAGCAGTGGTTGGCAGTTGGTCTAGGAAAGAAGTTCTTATAGGCAGAGTAATGCTCTTCTGATCCAGCCACTTCTGTACCATGTTTTGTTCAAAACTTTCTGGTGTTTACTTTTCTTCTGAGTAAAACAAAGCAAGACGAGAAAGGTATCAAGCTACATGGACAACACATGGTCTCTACAATAAATACTGCCCAAGTTTGCTTCCACAGAGAGGAGAAACTTCATCCCTGACCTTAACTGGTTTCGATTCCCATGACTTCTTTGCCTCACGCTCTGAACAGCATGTGTTTGTTTCATGGCAACGGCGTTCTGTTCATGACAGCAATTTATACAGGGACCCCATAAAACAGAAGGCAGCTAGCTATTCAGCAGATAGAGATCAAGCCATATAGATAAAACCCAATGCAAAGAAGTCGATCCTCTCGACTTTAACCTTGACCGTTTAACATACATACCTTTCTGAACAAGAGGTCCAGAGATTCTTTCATGGGTGACTTTGTTGGACTTCTCCTTGGTGACCATTTCTCTGTGATACCTGCCATGCCGGACATCTTCAAACACTTCAAACATCTGGGACACTCGTGATGTGTATCCTGCCAACTCAGTGATCTGCATGGAAATTATATCAATAGATATGTCCCAATTAAAAGGATTCAGTAACATAAACATTTCTCTAAAGCAGATGCTAATAAAGTCATGAATAAAACAACAAAATTGAAAAGTGGAATTGTCCAGCTTTACAAGAAAACAATTTCAAGAAAGGTGATGGGGTTAACAAAAAGCAATAACCTGGCTAGAGACACAGATTTTTCCCCATGCAAGCTCTTCAACTGATTCCATGAACATGCTTAAGAAGATAGAAAAAGGATGGGTACCAGGACAATGTTGGAGTCTGAGGAAATCTCGTTAAAGGAAAAAGTTTCAATTTTGTGCCAGGACACTCTAGGGTAAAAGGGAATGAATGAGTGGACTGGCTTGCTGGCAGGACCTCAGGAGGCCCAGGAAAAGCAATGGACCAGACTGATGTTCTAAGTGCTCTCAGGGAGACAGGATGAGCAGATGATTCAGGAGTTGACAGTGAGTCAGGCAAACCTTGACAAGACTACAAGAACTTTATGTCAAAACAGGTTAGTTAGTTAGTTAGTTAGTTAGTTAGTTAGTTGGGTTATCCTCATTGCACTCCGGACATGTCCATAGGTGCTCAGATCCTCCCCTCAGTATGAACCCCAACGTCCGATGGCTAATAGTACCAGTTCTATGTTGATTAACAAGTCTTCTGGCGTAGCTGGTGTGCGTCTCGTTTTTTGCTGTGCCGATCTTAATTCCCAAGTCTGCCATTCTGGCGAGTGATGTGGATTCACTGCCACCAAAGTCCTCTATTCTTCCCATTTCTCTGAGGGCATTGATAATATCAGCATGATCCATAGGGCTGACCGTCGGTAGTGATAGCGGATCCAGCCAACCTGTCAGCTCTTTCATTTCCATTGACGCCTGCGTGTCCCGGAACAAAAATAAAGGTGACTCCACGAACAGTGGACTTCTGTAATGATTCAAGCCATTGTCTTCGCACTGAACCTGCCTGAACCCTCCGGGATCATACTCATTGAATCACTGAGTATACACACGCGGGTGTATTTTGTGTTTCAAGCCAGGCAAGCGCTTGTGTCACTGCCATCACCTCCATCGTCCCCCATGCTGCTGGTTGTCATGGAGAAGGCGCCGTTGGCTTCTTTGACTGTTCTGCCCGCTGAGCGTGCTGTAAATGCCCATGCGCTTCTTCTTTGGCGTATAACGGATCCGTCTGTATAGATTATTGCATCTGCTTCATCTGAATTTTCACCGATAAGAGCGTTGACCTCTGCATTAACAGCAACAGGATTCTCTTCTCTACATCGCCTGTTGAGTGTGACAATACAGGAAAATGTACAAATAAACGCCTGAGGCACAGGTATCCATTCTGCACCAAAACAGGTGTCACCAGACATGAACATTATATAGGAAGCCAAAGAAGAATAGTAAACTAATATAGAACTGGTTTTATCAGTTGCCACATGCTGAGGGAGATACTTAAGATGGGATCTGAGCGCTTGTGAACTTTTCCAATGTGGTATGAGGACCACTGGTTGATTATATAACTATCTCAAGTGATGGAACAGGTGTTGCAACTAAAAGCTTGTGTCAGAAAAAATTTAATAACTAAATTTAACAACTACAAAAATGTCACAGCTCTTAAAATATGAGCTCTAGCCTAAAACAGAGAGAATAAAAACTATACTACCACAAGCTATGTAGATCAGCTGACTAGAAATGACAGTCAGGCAGGTACAAGTGAAATAAAAATATTGCTTGTAAACACAGGTCAATCTTTATAGGAAAGGTACTTGTGCCACGGGCGCAAAGCAAAGAAAGGGGAGGGTACGCAAAAATAGGAAAGGCAATGACAGCCAAATGACCAATAAAACAATCAGATGAATGGGAGGTTTTTATGAGACTGTTAGACACGGTGACCATACAGCAAAAGAGTCTTCAAATGAAGTCACAAGTTTCAAGTTTTCATTACGTTCCTTTGACAAATATTGGCAAATCAGACTTCTATCGAAAGACTGATCAGTTTTCCCTCTCTAGACTGCTACCTAACGGCTTAGCATAGCACCCTGAAAAAAAAGAATCTCAATCTGGATCGCAGACCAACAAGGCTGATCCCTGATACAGCATCCCCCCCCCAAAAGTCTAACGGACATCCATAGTGGCTACAACAGCCAGGTGTCACCTGTGGTCCTATGGAGGCCAAGACCTTTTATTCTATGAAAAATTGCAGACTTTATCAATACTCAGATTTGATCGTGGACAAAGACCGCATACAATTATTAACATTATGCACAAATAACAAAAATAAACAGAAAGACTATAGCTCTAGAAAACAAAACAAAATAAGCAGACTATAATTCTCAGATATATATCTGTGTTATACAATGCAACAAGACAGAAGGTCTGTTAACTTCAAAAGCACTAATAATTAGAACTCACGAGGGCCAAGGCAGATAAGATTATTAGAATAACAACTAGGCGAAGACACATATTCAGAGGAAGACAATCTGAATTCTTTGGTCACGCCATGAGAGGAAGAGAAATGGGGTGTATTCTGGTGGTAGGAATGTTGGAGGGGAGGGGAGGCAGATAGAGATTGAGCAAAGGCTGGACAGTTTGGCATCTTGGCATGGAAGATGATCTGCGTCAGAAATGACTGAAAGCAAACAAGATACAAAGCTGTAGATAGATTTGACTACCCACGCCACATGGCATGTGCAACAAGAAGAAAAAGACGAAACCACAAAAAGAAATAAAGCCTATTTTAGGGTGCCTATGTTTCAAATTACATACGGCTTCAGCAAGGAAGTTGGATGTGGGGTCAATCCAAAGTATTTACAACCAGTGTGACTAGACTAATAAGCATCTACATCTTAAAATATCTGATCAGTAAGAATGTTGAATGTTTAATTTAAAAATCGACATCACAGCACTCGGGACACTCCCAAAAGTGCTCAGTCCCCATCCTCAGCAGCAAGCGAGAAATTCAAATTCTGATGGTACCAGTAACCGACTGATTGTATATCGGTCTTTCCCTGAGTGTTGAGCGTCGGCCTGATCCCCTGGTAACTCCTCACAGTGCCATTTTCCTTAGGCCGTAATGATTTATCTGTGCCTACTCATTGTTCAGTAAGACAGAATGAGTATTTATGGGGTGGCCTAGTGTGAAAAGATGTCTATAACTGTTTCAGTAATTAACACCTCACAATAAGTTTCCTGGTCATGTGAAAAGTAACATAATGTTCTTTTGTTGTCAGCTTGCAGAGACAGGTGTTACATTAACCACTTGAATCTAAACTATTAGTTTAACTATTTCCAAGGTGTATTTTTTTCCCACAACCTTATGCAGTATCAGCAACCTTTTACAGGCATAATTTTTTTGGCGATTCTGAATCGGACACTTTGTGGTGAGTACTGGCATCTTTCTTATACACTTTCTAGTGAGTACAGGCACCCTTTTTTTCCCAGAAAAAAAGACCTGCCTGTCTCTGTCCCTTACTATCTCCGCTAAACTCCTTCAGAGTTAAATATTTATTGTTTTTAAGCTCAACTTCTTAAACAGAAGGATTTAAGACTTGCGACTAAAATAGTTAATGTTAAATTAGGAATTAATATTAATGTGTTTATCATCAAAATAGTGGCTCTGAATCTGCACATACAATTTCAAGATACCGTCAATAATTTATTTCTGACCTCTTTATATGAAGATATCATTCTTTCAATGGCGTCTGCTGAACTGATGAGGAGATTACGGGCCATTGTAAAATACCGTGTTCTTTCACTGACACCACCATCAACATCGTCTTCTACATTTGATCCTGGAAACATAGTAAATAATTTATAGTCATGGCTTTAAAAGCAAAGTTTGTTTCATTTAAAACCTTTTCTCCCTCATCAGTTTTCTGGGCTTAAATTTAGGGAGACAAAATAATATATCGATTGCCCCTTAACAAGCAGGTAGGAAAGATAATATTCTTTCTTTTTTTGCATTCACTGGCTGTAAACTCTTGCAAATAATTTCTGGGTGTTCGCCCACCTCCGGACTTTAGTCTTTGTCTCTCAGGCAGATGTACTCTGACTCTTACAATGATGCCCCTAATTAGTCAAATCCTATGACGTGCTTACTGGAGAGGCAGTGCATCTGTTCTTGTTTTCTCTATAATGGAGCCTGAAACCCACATGAAGAAAAACGGTTAATTAAAGGTTTGCTGAAACTGGATGTGTGGCACCAAAAGATGTGGATATCACAGCCCAACTGTAAACGACAATGTGTTGTATGACCTTAAAAGAGTGAATGCAAAAGAAGAAGAAACCTTTCAAATACCAGAAGCTCTGAACAGCCTGTCAATGCCATCTATTGCAGTTCCCTATATCTCTAGTTCTTGTCTATATTACATTTTTTCCAAATTTTTTTTTTTTAATTTCTTTTGTCTTGTGGATTCTTGAAGGACTGGGTATTCTACCACAGAAACAGGCATAATGAGGAATCTCTCAAACTAACACGAATGTGCGGCCTGGGAGTAAAGCATGGTGAAGCATGTCTACTCCACCTTTGTGGCCAAGAAAGGAGAGATTGGAATGGCTGCTGCATCAGAGGACTCAGCAGGCATGAGAATGCCCAAAGTGTAGTGACATCGATTGTGATACTAAAACATAACATTACAGAAACAAGGAAAAGTAAAACATAGCCAGGTGCCTCAATTTATAAAACCTCAGTGACTAATACCAAACTTTCCTGAGGTAGAGATTAAACTTTACCTCCAAGCGACTCCACCTAGCCAGTAAATTATTACAGACAAGAAAAAAGTCCACCCAGCCTTGAGTTGGTACTGGGTGAAGTCCCGGGAAGTAAAGGCGGTCGGCGTGATGCTGACCACATCACCCATCTTGGTCTATAAAAATATAGGTCTAGTCCTATATGCCTAAAGGCGGGGAAAATGGTCCTTTACTTTATTTTTTACTTACTTACAAGAAAAAAGTGCCCCTAATCGTAAAAGTAAAGTAAAGAACTCTTTCTCACATTGTCGACGCACTGGGCATATGCTTCTAAAAGCCTATTTTTAGAAGCCAGTTGGCAAACAAATGGTGATGCAGTCCTTTACCTCCCAAGGAATTTCTCTGCATTTATTTTTACCTAGCTCAAACTGGGAGCTCTGTGTAAATTATAACAATCAAACCAACATGGATTTTAAGAAAAGTGTTTATAATGCAAAGATGAAAATTATTTACCATCTTCTCTTATTCCAGTGGCGGTAATAATTGGCACAGCCACCATAACCAAACCAGAGGCACTCCAGACATACTTCATGAGAAACTGTTCCAGCATGATGTACCACAATCTCTTGTAGATAATCAGGTCCATCTGTGTCACCAATGCCTCATAGCATCGAGTGAGAAGAGACTTCTCAATCTGTTGAAGATGTGCACAGAAATGGATTGTAAGTTTGCAGGATTTATAAGTAAAAGACTTCTCCATCTAGACCAGCTGTTCTCAACCTATGAGTCGCGACCCTTTTTTTGTGTGTGTGGGTTGAACGACCATTTCACAGATGTTGCCTAAGACCATAGGAAAACTAATATTTATTGAAGTTATATAATAAAACAATTGTATGTCTGTGGGTGGCCACAACACGAGGAATTGTATTAAAGGGTTGCAACATTAGGTAGGTTGAGAACCGCTGATCAAGATAGTATGTAAATGAGAAGTGAAGTTTTAATAATAAGGCTGTGTCTTCTTCTTCAATGGTTTGCCTGAAATCAGTTGTCTATATCAGCAATTTTGTCCCTCATATAAATGTCACTGTCATTTTTATTTAATTCAGCACGCTGTAGAATTCAAGTGCTGTGACGTCGATTCTTAATTCAACATTCTTTGTGGCCAAAAGGTTTGCCTTAATGTATCATATTCAGTGCAGTTATGAAGTATGTGTTCTGCTGAAAAGAGGCAATTTTCCACATGTGCACATGGCTGATACGTCTAAGTTGATTTTCATGTACATCTATCTGTGTGAGTGTACATGTGTGACTGTGTATGCATATGCATGTGTGTGTATGCAAGATGAGCATTCAGAAATAAACACCTTATATATGTTGGGGCCAGCAAATAATGAAGACAGAAATGTGAAATCTTGCAGTTTAAATCTGAAATGTTTGTACTGTGTGTACACAATGGCAAACTCATTCTGACAAAACAAACAGAAACACTAAATAGTTAAAATAAAGGGTGAGGACAGTGTGCATTACAAATAGCGAATTGTTGTTAAACTTTCATCTGCAGCTGCTGGATAGATAATTAAAGTTTCAGACAGCAGAGAGACGGACCTGAGGATGCTATGCATGGTGGGAAGACATGACTACATGAAAAAAGACAAATCCTGATCATGCATGCCCTTGTTTTGTATTGGCATCAGGTCATAGAACTGGACACAGACTATATTGAATAAATGACATTTAAAGGACATAATGAGTTACACTGTCAGTGAATGTGATATATTTGGCACAGTTTAAGATGCAAAAATGTACAGTATTACTCTTCTGAACACCCCTTGCATCAATGCTGCCTCCCTATAACACAATAATATAATCATCTAGAAAGACAGAAAGTTGCCAACCAACCCTGTGTGTGTTTGTGTACATATGTACAGAGGCAGACAGAGAGAAAGACAGACAGACAGACCTTTCAATCTACAGAGTACATTTATGAAGGTAAATATCCCAATCTAAATTAAACAAATTACAACATAATAAAAACTGTCCAAATATGGAGAGACTTCTTAATATACTAGACTGGAATATGGTCAGATGTAGAAGCTGATAAACAGGTAATACAGAATAATGTTATGTTAGTTGTGTATCCTTTAAGGACGTTGCAGAACCAACCCCAGGATTGGCTGTTGTGGTTTTTCTAGGCCAATTTACGTCCAGTAGTTTGCCATTGCTTTCTGGGCGGTCAGCTTCTCAATACCACTGTCGAAACCAACGCAAGGCCTGCAGCTGGGATCGATACCGACACCCTGGAATTACGAAGCGCCTGCGCAACGCCTTATCCGCCAACAATGCAGAATAAACTAATCACAATATGTGCTATCCAGCATTCCTTTGTACTTTCCTTTTTTTAAAACTCTTGATGAAATAAATGTTTATTTCTGCTCCTTATCCATTTTTTCGTGTTCTTCTTCTTCTTCTTCTTCTCTTCCACCTTGTACCTCATCGAAGTGTCAGGGGGAGATGTAATGTTCGTTGATGAGCTCTGTCAAGAGCACTATTAAGACTGATGTTCATTTCTGTAAGGCTGTTCTTAATGCCATCACTCCATCTTTTCCGAGGTCTTCCACTCGCTTTATACCCGTTGTAACGTTTTAGTGTGGCTCGCTGTGGCAGATAGTACCAGGGCATTCTTGTTAGGTGTCCAAACCATTTCATTTGTTGTTCTTTGATGACCTGTAAGACTGGCTTTATTCCTAGCATTCGTCTGATTTCATGATTTTGTATTCTGTCTTTCCTTGAAACTCCTGCAGCTCTTCTAAGGCATTTCATCTCTGTTGTCACAATTTTACGTTCATTGGAGGATGTAAGTGTCCACGTTTGGCACTGATAGCATAGTATTGGCCAAAAAAATAGTTCTGATAAGATTCACTTTAGTACTCTGAGGTATCTGCTTGTGTGTCAACAGGGGAGATAGTTGGCCCATTACTTGATTAGCTTTGGCACATCTGGAGCTAATTTCTCTGTCCAGTTTTCCGTCTGAAGTAAAAATTGCTCCCAAATACTTAAATTCCTCTGTTTTGTCTCAGGGTGTTGTTTTTTAATTTAATTTCTAAATTGTCTTTATGTCTTCCTATCATCATTGTCTCTGTCTTCGTAGTGTTTATTTTCATATTATATTCCTCCCCTTTGTTACTAATTTGATTTAGGTGGTTCTGTAGGCATTCCATATTTTCTGCTATTAGTACCTGGTCGTCGGCGAAAAGTAATTCTGTTATATCTTCTTCCTGATTAAAGTCTGTTTCGCTACATATGGCGTCCATGTATGTTATGAAAAGAAGCGGCGATAGTACACAGCCCTGACGCACACCAGAGTTCACTATAAAAGTTCTAGACAACCCTGCCTTTGATCTTATGCAGCATTCACTACGTGTGTACAGGCTTTTGCAAATATTAATGAGATGTTTTCGTGTTCACCAGCTGTAAACTTCGGCAGAAAGTTCTGGGTGCTCGTCCACCTCAGGACTTTAGGTCTTGTTCCAGAATCTGAGGTTGCATGCACATCCGTATCACAGATCTATTTTACATGTTTTTCGTGTCTCCCAGGAAGATGTACTCCAACTTCGAAGAATGCTCCCACTTAGTCTACTCCTATGACATGCTTGCTGGGGAGGCAGTGGGCCTATTCTTGTTTTTCCCACAACGTGTACATTGTGGACTTCTGCCACAGCCGAGAGTATCTCTCACACCGCTACGCACGGCTTGGAGTGGGACTAAACTAGATGGCGGGGACTCACGAGCAAATAAAATTAAGGAAGCGGTAGCCGCTGCTCGTGAGTCCCAGCTTTTTTAGTTTAGCCCCACTCCACGACGCGCGTAGCGGCGTGGGAGATACTCTCGGCTGTGGTGGTAGTCGCCGGAAGTCTGCAATTAAAGTCGCCGGAAGTATACTCTCGGCTGTGGTGGTAGTCGCCGGAAGGCCGCAATTAAAGTCGCCGGAAGTCCGCAATTTACATGTGATTGAGGCCGTCAGGTTGTGTTTCTGGCCGCTATAATATGTGCCCGTTATTCGGAGGATAGCCGTCAAATTTAAAATACTACAATTATAAACATTTACCTTATGGCCATTGTAGAATGCAATCTCTTCTGCATTTGTTATTATTCTTGAATGCATGAATCTTAAAGATCCTTTCTTGCTTGCCTCATCTGCTACAAGCTTTCCAAACTTTGGTGAGACAGAACGCAAGATTTTGGCAGTAATAAGTATAACAACTGCCGCAATCAGAGTTGGGGTCTTTGAACTAGCACCACGACTACTGGCAAGTCTGTACAGTGTGAAAGACATCAGTGCCACATCTAATAATGGCTTTGTTAAATGTGAGTACAGATGGGCCAGAGATGAGGTAAACATAGTGATATCTTCTGTTAAACATTGATCGGCATTTGATAAACGCCCATCCAGATTACTCACACGGTAGTATGTCTGGCTATCAAAATACTTTTCGTATGCATGTTTGACAAGACGAGTGCGAAAGACTAGGGCAAGTTTACTCTCCAAAAACCGAATTAAACTGTTAATGAATGTTGCTGGGACTGCCAAAAGAATCCATTTAGATAACTGCACTACAAAACGTGTGACATTTCGTTGAACAATAGTTTGGACAATACTGCCATCCAGCTTTGCAACATATATTGATAAAAATGTTCTTATAACTAAACTAAGCGTGTGCAACACAAGAAGTGCAAACTCTCTGCTCCAGACTGTTGGTATTATTATTTTTATAAGGGACCTCAACTGTCTGTAAAAATGTTTATCAACGTGTGGATTCTTTCTGTCTGGCTGATCTTTGCCACTGTGGAGTGGTGATACATTTGCTGAATTCCCAATATCAGCTCCATTCAACTTGCTGCCAGCTTTGGTCTTCGACTTCTGCTGGTAAACTAGCTGTGACAGAGTTGGATAGAAACGACGAAGGCCATACGCAGCTACAAAACACAAAGCTGCTCCAGTCGCAATCTTATTTGGTGTTAGATTTGTTTTGGCAGCGGTATCCAAAAATTTACTGTTAGACATGATGACAGCATAACAAATAACAATACTCCAAGTTGCAACGTCTGTTATCTAGTGAAAAACACTTTCAAACTAAGATGAACGTTGGCTAGCAATATCAAATAAATCAGCTGACTTGACTAGATCAGAATCATCGTATCATATGATGCAGGCGATTTTTAACTCAACATCCTCGTTCATTCCCATTGGAAATAAAGCAAACTCTGAAACTGAAAACTTTTGTGACGTGCCACAGTCCTGTGTCATTCCCCAGCTGGCTTTTCTGAGTGGAGGAAACTGAAACAAACAACAACACACAATGTGTTGATAAAGGTATTAAAAGCGATCTCTAATGTTCTTTCATCAACAGTGATCATCATATCATCTCCGACCTTCCATTTTGCTACTGTTTTGGTCGATGACCTCAATATACCAGATTTATTTACAGCTACAAACGAAGTATTTTATATCATTACTAGACTTCTAACGACCAAGAAGTATGTTGCTACTAAGATGAACGTTTATGAGAAAGGCAACAGGTAGCTGGACAAGACTGCGTCCATGATACTGAAACAATTGCACGAGATGCATGTATTTTAATGCGAATTTGTTGGGAGCCTTTGGACTTTGAGTGATAAGAGAAAAGGGGAACGCAAAGCATAGAAGAACCGTATATGTTAGAATACATCATTAAATTGAGAATACATTATTTATCTAAATAAAAATACGTTACAGAAAAGTTAAGCAATAATGCTATTTGAAAATGCATTCTGGGGGGAAATGCTATCTTTTCATTTACAACTTCATTGTGGTATATGTTTTATGAAAAGAGCTGTGGCGTACGTGCATGTATATTTAAAAGTCAATCTGGCACATTTAGAAAGTCGTTCAGTTGTGTCCGTCTAAACAGACAGAGATAGCTAAGATATTGCTTGCATGTTCTATTTTCACAACTAGCAGTGAATGTACCAATAGCGTGAAACCAGAGACTCGTTTGGCGTCTGCTACAGACTGACATATCCAGCGATCCGTAAACATTATACTCAGCACCAAGATTCAAGTCGATAAAAGTAGCAATGAATTGGGTTGGTGGTGCTAGAAATAGGCTCAAAGGTTCACACAATGATAACAGAAAACTACTGAAGGTAAACATATGCAGGAACATGTAAACTAGCAAAGAAAGCTTTAGTAAAATATTGTGCGTTTATTCAGTGATCGTACATCGGTTGAAAGTGTGGGCTGCGTCTGTGGATCTGCGGCCAAGGGTCGGCTATGTCTCTCTCTCTCTCTCTCTCTCTCTCTCTCTCTCTCGCTCGCTCGCTCGCTCTCTATGTGTGTGTGTGTGTTTATATTGGCTCGCTTATGTGATTGACTCACCAAGGACATTTTTTTTGTCCTCAACCTGTGGCTGTTCTGGCAAGCCAGCAGGGGATTACTTTACCTCTCTGACAAATAACAATAAAATGTAACCGGCAATGTGACTAGCAAGCTACGCTCCCCATTTCCAAGACCAGTTATTGCCAGGGATGACGTTCTTCATCTCCTGTGAATATTATAAGAGGCCGTGTGTTGCATATGCAACATGACCCTTCTCTTCGCTTGCCTTGTTTACTCAAAAGGAAATACATAACATAAATAAGTTTGGAACGAAGCATGCGGCCGGATAAGAAAAGCAGCGCTCTGAGTGACTTTCAGAGTTTCCCTCCTAGATCCGCTGCCAGGAAAGGTTAAAAAGCCTCGTTTGCTATGGCATAACATTTGTTTTCAGGTTGGACTTTTTCTTTCTAAGATAGGGCTAGTGTTCTGAATTTAAAGATAAGTTACTGAATATTTCTCATCATCGACGTTTTTTCTGTCATAAAGCATGGTACCAAAGTACACAGACAAATCAACTTGCTTGAGGATTGTCCCGTTTACTTTGATGTTGCATTTTAGAGGGTCTGCTTTCTTTGTAATTGCTATTATTTCTGTTTTTCTACTGTTCAAACTGAGACCGCGGTTTTGACTTTCTGTTACAATTATGTCCGCCATTTCTTGCATCTGTTTTTCATTTTCAGCGATCAAAACTATATAGCCAGCACAGCGCGGATTGTGTGCATATGCCAGCCAACCAATATTCCTAGCATACCATGTACTTATCAATATCTAGCAGGTTTTGTGGGTGCCGACTTAGGGGTGTGGCTAGACGCTGACATACCGGTCCAAAGGACTCTTTAAAATTGATCTTGTCTGCTCCCGTGTTGGTTTCGCGTCCCTAGTTTTGGGGAAAAACAATAGTAGACCCACTGACTTCCCACAAACATGTCGTAAGAGTCGACTAACAGAGGCTTTTTTCGAAGTCGAAGTGCATCTGCCTGAGAGGCAATGAACCAGCAGTCTGCATACAAGTAAGGCAGATATGTAAGAAGGATATGGACGCAACACTCACGTTCTGGAACAAAACTAAAGTCCGGAGATGGACGAATATCCAAAAACTTTCCGCCGCTCGTGAACGCGAAGAAATAGAAGAAGAAGAAGAAGAAGAAGAAGAAGAAGAAGAAGAAGAAGAAGAAGAAGAAGAAGAAGAAGAAGAAGAAGAAGAAGAAGAAGAAGAAGAAGAAGAAGAAGAAGAAGAAGAAGAAGAAGAAGAAGAGGAGGAAGAAGAAGAAGAAGGGGAGGAGGAGACGACGGCGGCGGAGGAGGAGTAGGAGAAGGAGAAAAAGAAGAGGATGATGATTTCGGCTACCAGGTCCACCCTGCCAATTATGGATACTAGGTAATATCCTGGGACGTTGAGCCGGCAGGTATGATATTGCCACATAACCCGCCATTGCTTATTAGCCTGTTTCAACCCCATTTCCCCCCCCCCCCTCCCCTCACCTCACCCACCTCCACCGTTCCGTTGCAAAAGCGCTTCGTAATGCCGTTTTACAGAGTTAGATCACACTTGCGGACGATTTGTCTTGCACTGATTTCGACAGTTGCGCCGACAGCTGACCGTTTAGAAACAGTTGCAAACTACTGAACGTAAAATTTGCCTAGAAAACTCACAAGAGCCAAAAAATGCCGGGGTTGGTTCTGCAACGTCCTGTAAAGATACGCAATAACTAACTATATGACAGGCATCGATACCGCACGACAAATATTCTAGACAGAAAAAAACTGAAACATTGTGCTTGAACCAAACAGCCCCCGAGAAGCTAACAGTAAGTCTTACTTTAAAAGGAAAAAAAAAAGATCATATAGGTCGTCAGCAAAATTATGAGATAATTTGGGGCGTTGACACAGAGAAAACATCAAAAGGGTTGAGTCTGTTAACAAATTCTCTGGTGAGAGATGGGCGCCCAAGGAAGATAAGCCTTCTTTAAGGGAGTAATAATAATAAATAATACAGTACTAACTGACGAATAGCTATAAAAGGATTCACGTTGTGCTTCATTATATGTTGATGTAACTCTGTAGTAATGCACCTGGCGAAATACAGCGAAATATGCCTGGCAATAAATTGTGTCGTGTATTTATTGTTTGTGTCCGCACTATTTAAACTTACAAGGTAAAACACTGTTTTCTATGCTCTATTTTTTATTTTTGCTCATAATTAAATTTGTCATCTCATTTGAAAATCAAATTACGGCTAAGTGGATCTTTAAGCTTATATAAATTTTTGTATATAACAGTATAAATAATATTAAAATCCCATTTATAGAATTTTTTTTTGTTTATTTTCGTTGTCTCATTTCCTTCCCTCCAACGCCTAACTCATGTTAACGTTTCCAATTCGTCTTATAAAGTATTCGCTAAATATCGTAAAATACACTATCCAGATGCACTTTGAAAGAAAACAGCAAGAAAGAACAAGCTCGGTGACCGCCAATAGAAACTCGAGCGAACTAAAGACTTCACATCGGCGGAAAAAGCCTAGGGTGAGCCAAGATGTGCTGGCTTTTAAAATGCAAAGTGAAATTAATTCCAAAACTGGTAAGTTTCCGCATTTATTTATTTATTTGTTTATTTTAAATAGTTTTGCTCCATTGATTGAATATGGTATTGAAATTCATGCACAACGCGCGGAAGCGTTTATACATACGTTTATGCCTTCTTCATTGAACCGTCTTTGGAACGTAGACCTTCAATTTACGAAAAACAAATGCACGCTTTGCAAGTTCAGTACAGGTATGGGAAGCTGTCAGTGTTTCTGCATTCAAGTTACTCATAATACCCCTATACAGTCAGAGTTAGACCATGACCTACGTTGGATCACCCACCAAGTGCCAGATGGTCTTTAAAATATAGGTCTAGCCCACATGCCCAATATGCCTGAAGGCGGAGAAAGGGTCCTTTACTTTACTTTACTTTACTTTACTTTACTTTACTTTACTTTACTTTACTTTACTTTACTTTACTTTACTTTACTTTACTTACTTTACTTGACCTTACTTATGTGTGTAATCTCCATGTGTTTGTGTAATCAGCTGAAGACAGCGTGAAAACTAATGTATCTTAGATACTATCTGTCTGCACATTTGACTGTTTTCATAGACGTGGGCCCTGCTAGCAATGTTCGAGTGGTCAACCTTGGCCGTGGTAGATCTCTGCCTCCTGCGAAGAACGGTTAGTATTCATTTACGTTACTCTCCCTGAGTTTTGATGTCTTTCTTCTTCTTCTTCTTCTTCTTCTTCTTCTTCTTCTTCTTCTTCTTCTTCTTCTTCTTCTTCTTCTTCTTCTTCTTCTTCTTCTTCTTCTTCTTCTTCTTCTTCTTCTTCTTCTTCTTCTTCTTCTTCTTCTTCTTCTTCTTCTTCTTCGTCTTCTTCTTCTTCTTCTTCTTCATAAACTTCTTCTTCTTCATCATAATTATACACTTCTTCTTCTTCTGCTTCTTCTTCTGCTCCTGCTGCTACTTCTGCTACTTCTGCTTCTGCTTTTACTTCTTCGTCTTCTTCGTCTTCTTCTTCTTCTTCTTCTTCTTCTTCTTCTTCTTCTTCTTCTTCTTCTTCTTCTTCTTCTTCTTCTTCTTCTTCTTCTTCTTCTTCTTCTTCATCATAAA